GAACAAGAACCATCATCGACGAAATCGAGAACCAAGAAGTCCAAGAAGAGAAACAGAGAGGGGAAGCTCCAACAACCAATAGAACCGATGTCACAAAACCCTGGAGCAAAAAAGGAGAATTTCAAAGTCAAAATCCAACTTTTCCAAGACCAACCAAACAAGATTCCACCTTTAGTCGCCTATTTCCCGTCTGGCTACAATCCTTGCAAAACCGATCCTCAAACCCGACAAGAGGAGGAAGAGGAAGAAGAAGAAAGACCCAACAACAAAAGCGACCAACCAAGGGTCAAGGTTTATAGAAACATGGCTCAAAGGAAGACTAATAGGCTGCAGGTTGTGGTTAGCCCAAGTGGGTCCAATGTGGATTTTGTGGGCTCCAATTACAGTGGTGAGGCAGCTGCTGCGCAAGTTTGCAGGTACTCACTTGGGGTTCTTGATAGGGAGACCAGGACTCTCAAGATTATTCCTGTTGCTTCTAATAAGGTAACTCTTTGTATGTATTAAAGTAACCCTTTTTTTTGGTAATAATTTGTTACAATTATCATTTTTTTATTGTTGTAAAGAGGAAAGGTCCTTAATTTGAAAAACTTTCTGATTGCTTAAACTAATTTATTTGCACAGCTGTTGGTGATGTTTTGCTTTCTGTTGATAGATGTTGTTATTGTGTTGTTTGATAATGAACGAAAATGGAGACTTGAGTTGATTTACTTTCTCAGCTTTTGATTGTTAAGGATTTACGGAAAAGCAGCGACCTTGAAAACTTTTGTAATGTTTTATTGGTATAACTATTGGATTTTTAGTTGTATAATGGAGTTCATTTTTCTGAGCTAGTTGGTAGCTAATTTATTTATCCATCCTTATGTTATTGAAAGAGGAACAAAGGGGTGATAGGGGAAATAATGGAAACCGTTGTTGTGTTGATATTAAATGAGATTTTGATTGTGGTTTTAATTAATCTGTTGGCGTGATTGATTTAATCCTAGATATTTAGATTGGAACCAAGAGTTAGAAGCTCAGAGACTGCTAATAAGGATGTTTCAAATTCAGTTAAGAGTGAACTTACTACAGAAGACAAGGAGGACAAAATGGGGGAGCTAACTGCACTCTATGGAACAAAGAAGGATAGAAAGAAGGTTTGGCCCTTTCTGCTTCCTGAGATTTTGAAGTAGATTTTTTTATGTTCCTTGGAATTATCAGTTCATAGGTGTTTGATTGTCATTTTTATATTTCTGCTCAAGTGGTAATGACACTATATAATTTGTATAATATGCAGAGGAAGGATCTTAATAATTTGAGGAAGGAAGTTGATCCTGAATCACAAAAATCTTTGGACAAGAAGATTGAGCAAGTTGCCTTCAACAAGGAGGCTCTGGGAAATACCAGTGCCCTTATTGCTCGTAATATCCCTCCACATGACTCTTCTGCTACTACACCCATAGAAGCTTACCCATTGGACAAGATTATTCTCAAGGGAGACTGGGAATTTCTTGGAGATATTTATGGGCTTTTGGAGGTGGGAGCAGAAGTAGCAAGCAATGCTTATCCAACTTTTGTTTGCAACAGAATTAATAAATTGGAAGGCATTCAGGTAAGGGTGTGAGAAAGACTTATTATGTTTTTGCCTGAAAAGTTTCTGGTAAGGAAAGTTATACTTGTTGAAAAAGCATAAGAAATACAGGCTTTTGTAACATCCCTCTCTTTCTGGTCCTTGGTTGGAAGTCTGATAATTTATGTTAATGATGCCTCTAATTGCAGGATGAGACGGAGAAGAGGAAACTCTCCTGTGTTTTTTCATTTATCACTCATCTTGTGAAGTTCAATGATCAGGTCTCCATGGATCGTTTTGCTTCTGCAAAGGGCCATAAGATCCCAAGCATTATACGCCAGAGGTTTTTCACCATGTTTACGGATCCAGGGTTGAGAAGACCTTCCCCTGACCAAATTAACCTCCTGATTAGTTACATCTTGGTGCTCACTTTACATGCTGATGGATTCCGAACTGACCCATCAGATATAGCTAAGGATCTAAGAATGAGTTCAATAGGTTTGAGACCTCATTTTGAGAATTTGGGGTGCAAACTTGTACGTGACAGCAACTCAATATTCACTACCCTTCCTGTTCCTCTAAAATTTCCTTCGGAGAACTTGTTGCGGAAGCGGAGACGGTAGATAGAACAACCGCTGTGTATCTTATTGTAGCAATGTAGCTTTTTTACATCAAAAGGAGGTGGTTCTGTGTCTTGGCTATGCTGAGTATACGACTCCATGACGAATTTTGATTTATCCTGTTTGCTTCGTGACCTTCTATTGCTGCAACTGTTTTGGAGTTGAAGACATTTGGAATCAAAGATGGGATGCAATTTTATTTAGAGATTATATTATTACTTATCAAGTGTTAGCATGCCATCATTTTTGAACAATCGGTCTTGTGTTTTGCCTCTCCCACTTTTTATACTGTGATCATTTTGGGACATGTAAATCTTTATTTATAAGTTTCAAATTCATCTCATATCTCTTACAAATTTCAATGGGAAACAAGCACGGCTGCCTCAAATTCCCAGTGTCAACCAAAATAAGTTATAAACTACAAAACCAACTCCAACTCTGCAAAGTGACTTACAGTCTGGAGGGGCAAGATACAATAACGACAACTCTGTTTCCCTTGTCGAAATTTGTTAACCCAATAGAGGAAAGGATGCGAAGAAGGGCATTACATAACCACGACAGCTTAACAAGCAAGAAGCAGGTTATCAAAATTTCTTAATTAATAGTTCCATAAAGACAGAATTTAAACAGAAATGTACTTCACAGTTTCAACTCTTTACCTCTCTTAATACACAGAATTAAACCTTGCTTGGTTTAATTGTCATAAGATACGATTACTAAAAGAAAGAAAAGACTAATAGTACATACCATCATATCCCAAAACAGCACCTGTGCTACAAAGTAAGAAAACCAGCCTGGAGGTTTTTCAAATATTATTTGTCCTGTGAAAGAATTTTATGATGTAATGGCTTTACATTCACTACACAAGATATTGGCTGGTAATGTAACAAACTCCGATATATATTTCTTAAGGCCAGAACACTAAATTAGAGGATTCTGTCCTGGAGATCGGTAATAAGAGTGGATGCCAAGGAGCTGAGTTTCTTTCCAGTCTCTCCCGCTATGTTCTTAAGGTTAGAGATATCCTGCTGTGCCTGAAAGTGATATTTTGATTATATATATATATATATATACATATATATATATACATACGTATATATATCAATAAGAAATAAGTCAACTTAAAATGATAAAGAAAATGAGGAAAAATCATTGTAAGATAAACCATCCAAATGCCATATCCACTAACAAAATTTCAGGTGACACTAAAGATGCTGTGTACAAAGCAAACCTGGAAAGAGAGTCGATTGATGAGGTCACTGGCAGCAAGGTCAAGAGAATTATCTGCACCTTGACCAAATAGATCAGCACTGGAGATGGCTGTTGAACCCTGCAAAAAAACAAGATGGCTATTGATCTCACAATACCAAATTTCAAGCATGAAGTTGCAGTTATTACTGCTCTCACAGCCCTTGAACCAATAAATAGATTTCCAACTATTTCCAATTATACCTATAAATTTCAGTTAAAGATGATTTATGATAGCAGATTACACAGTTAGTGTTTTCTTTTGCTGCCTGACCACAAATAAGTGTTGCTATTACACTAAAATTTAAATTGAAAAAGAGATATAGTTCTTCTAAGAAACTTCTCCGTTCAGAGCAGACTGTCAACCAAATGTTACTAAGAAAGGAAAAGAATATTATAAGATGGTACTATATAATTGCTGATAAATAAATAGAGACTTTTGAGCACTTTAAAAAGATAGTATCTTCCAAGAAAGGAATAGCTACTGCACATACTGAGAATTTCTGCAAAGAAACTTGGGCATCAGTGTCAGCTGATCGGGCCTGATCACCAAAAAATTGGGCCGATGAAATAGATTTTGCATTTGAGAACTTTCTCCTAGCTTCATCAGTTTCCTGAATCTGAGATCAAAATGAAGCAATAAGAAACAAAATGAAAGGGCAGATGCAGATACCAGCAGAAAACCATACAAAGCTTCCTTCCCATCAAATTCTCACACACACATTACATGCACATGTCCAATATGGGACCATTTTCTTTTCAAAGTCCATAGCGATTTGGTGGGTACAAGTATCACATCAAAGTAGCTTCAAGGTGTCTTATAATGTTATGTTAGAATAAAGTAAAGAGTCCATAAACACACCTTGCAAATTTAAATGCTATGTGAAATTTCGTTTTCAACTAAACATGTGACTTCACTTGAGCTAAAAGCCTATAGCCAGAATAACATACTGAGTTCAGTCTCTTTATGCCGGACATCCTCATTATGAAGTTGACAATTTATAGCAGTACGTGATTCGACAAACAACAAGCATGCATATGAAGAATCATGGAGAAGAGAAAAAAGTTCAAAAACCAAAAGGAAATAATCCCATCAAAGGAATCAGCTATTAATACACAAAATATTTACGTTCTTGGTCATCAATAGAGGTCATCTTACCTGCCCTTTTGAGGAATTTGAGCTTGATTTCTTCTGAAAGCCACTATCCATTCCAAAATCTGCAAAGAAGCTTGATGACTTTGGTGGAGCAACATGGCTAAGCACTTGTGGGCCACCAGAATTCAAGTCAGTAGATTGAACATTTTCTACATACTCAAAACGAGATGGAAAAGATGAGCCAACAGGTGCAGTATTATTAGTTGAGGAAGCAACGGGGACAACAGGTTCTTCAGGCTTCTGGTCATAGAGATTTTCACTTGGCTGAAATTGACAAGAACTACATTGTCAAGAGGAAAGGTATTTAAAATAACTCCAACAATAAAATAATAATTCTAATCAAGATGTCCTTATGATCATTCTGCTGTAATTACATAGTTCACAAGGATCAGAAACAATACCTTTGTAGTAAGCTTTCGGGCACCAAGCCCCCCAGTTTTCCCAGTTTTCTTAGCACCAAGAGGCTTCTTGACAGTGCTGGTAACCACTGAATGAGAAGCTTTTGGTGTAGCAGAAACTTCAGGTGTTTCTTGCCTGCCTAAAGTACTTTCTTTAGGAGCCTCATCAGTCTTGCTATCAAGAAGTCCATTAGATGTTTGTGATGACTGAGAAGCAACGGGGGATGAAGGCAAACCTGCCTCTTCGGCCATACTTTTCGCAACTTCTTTTGATAGTATTTGCCTATATAAATCGGCAGCTCTTGAAGTATATTTGGCCTCAATTTTGCCTCCATCTGTCCATCCATGCTGCTTAAAGAAAACCTGTGCACGGTTATTTCCTCCAAAGACCATCATTCTCAATTGCTCAGGAGACCATGAGTCTAAATTTGTAGACCTGCATTAAATTATACATGTCCTTCAGCATAAGACGAGAGAAACACAAAGACTCAAGAATATTATCAGTCCATTGCTAAAATATCCTATTCAATTGTGAAGGTATTGTGATATTCTAGCTCAAGTCCTCACTAATGAGCATGTTTCACAGTAAGCACCAAATATCTAAAAGACTCTTTGCTTTCTTAGCCAGAAGGACATCTTGAGAAAATGGTTAAATGATTCTGTAGCTTCAAATTCGGCTTAAACATGAGCATCAACAACCGTAATAACCAGAAAATAGAGCATATCAAAGTAATTGGCATGCTACATTGTTTACCCACAAAAAATTACATGCAGGATTAAGCATGATAGCAGATTAATCTCAACAAAAAGAGTTTCCTCTTTCAAAACTATAAAAAAAGGAACCTGTCTAACTAGTTCCAGAATTTATATCAAAGGAAGAACAAAAACAAACACAGGAGCAATCTATCTCATTTGCAAAATACATCAGAATACAAGTTTAACCTCACACATAATAAAAGCTTAAAGGAGGATAATTCACATTAGGATTTGAGTCCAATGCAAACCATAGCTATCCTATCAAGGGAATTCCCTCAAACAATGGAACCAAAGAGAGAGGAGGCAACTTTGGAAACAAAATCTACACTTCTTAGGGAGAATATAGAAAATCATAATTCAAGCGTTTGTATAAAGCATATAAGGAACCGAATATTCTCACTCTCATTCATTTCTTTAGTCAAATATCAGGAGATCCCAAACAATAGAACATAATCTGCTTAATCAAACCTTTCTTATATTAAAATTTATAAATTTCCACACCAGATATAAACCGAAATCGTAAAAAAAGACTACTCGTTCCCCCTCTATAATCTACAAAAAAATTCCAACTTTTTTTTGTAGAATTCTAGATGCACAAAACTTAAAACGCATCGACCATTGTGAAACAGACAATATTAAATAAAAACGTATTAAAAACTAATAATACCTGACAAAGCTGATGTGGACACCGAGACTCCGATGAACGGCTGAGCAATCGATGCAGAGAAAGATCCCGTACGTCACCGACGCCCATGTCGGATTCTTCGCATTACAATCAAAACACATCTACAACAATAAAACAATACAAATAAGCCAAATCCAAGATCCAGTGACAATTTTTCCAGATCTGAATCAGATCTAAAAAAAAAAAGTTATTAAAAATTAAAAAGAAACACAGACCTTGTTTTCTGATTTTGCTTTCAGCTTTCTGAAAACAGCGTTCTTGTCGCTCAGGCTATCGGACGACGCCATCGATGCCTTTCTTCTTCTTTTTTTCTTTTTTGAATTTTAGAATTTTTTTTCTGTTTTTGTTTTTGTTTTTAAGAAGAAGAAAGAAAGGGTTAATCTGAAGAGGTGTGGGATCAATATCGAACACCTCCTCAGGCTGGAACGGGAGACAGGAATATAAGAAAATGAAACGAGATTTGTTTTTTCTCCTTTTCTTTCCTTAAGAAATTAAAGAAAAAAATTGAAAAAGCTCAAGGCGAGGAGGACCATCTTTTTATGAGGAAATTATTCGTGAAATGACGATTGTAGCCTTGGTATTTTATTTTTGTGCATAAATGCCTTGGGTGAAGGCAGGACGGTTGGGTGATACGGTGGTGAGGTGGCGGGAAGGGGGGAGCGGAGAGCCCTCCTCCATGTAGTTTGGTGGTGGCGACCAAGTGGCGGTTATTACGAACCATCAATTGGATTTGGATGTTAAAAGCTTAACTAAATAAGTACACATTTCGTCAACCTCAATTTTTTTGGGATGGCTCAACCTATTTCTATCTTTTATTAAGAGTTTTTTCGTTTTTTTTTTTTGTTTACAATTTGATTTTGCATCTTTTTCAAGCTATTACCTAACTACTTTTGGCATTTTAAATTTTTTGAGATTTTCAGTTAATATTTTTTTCTTTTACTTTACACCTAGCTCGTTTGTATTTGTATATGTGGATAAAATATGATCAATATTAAATAATTTTTTTAAGTTATCGAGTTGAAAACTTTTCATTTGATTAAAGGAAAAAAACTCTTAACTCTTGGTTTATTTTCATTGAAGATCATCATGATATCGATACGATGATGGTACTAAAAAAAATTTCAAACAAACCCATTCCCAAAATG